TTTCTAATTTTTAATTTATACGTAAAGAGAGAAAGAGATAAGAAAGTAATATATTTTATCAACACAGAGAATCCCCTCCCTCTCGCCAGCAGATATTCTATAAATAAAAATGTTAATACATAAATATTGATATAAAAACACACATAAATTATTTTTATAAATCATCACTTCAGATGCAGTTCGAACATATAAGAAGGAGGAAGACCTGACAACGGAAATATAAAGCAAACATCTTTAGAGAGAGTGGCGTCTAAAATAAATAATCAGGAAGGAAAGAAGAATGTAAGAAAAAAATGCAACAACTTTCATCTGACATATTTGCTGCAGTGAAAAGAGATGTGAGGGGAAAAAATATCGTCGCGATCGAACAGGGATGGCTCTTACGTGTCTCCAGCCAGCACTGCAGCTGGCTGCGCAGACATCTCTCGTACGCGTTTCTTCCTCGTGTAAAGCCGGCTTTGTCGAGAGAAAGAAAGAGAGGGAGCTTCGGTTGCGTCGCTCTTTCGTTTTCTCGTATACCTTCGTGACGTCACGCGCTGCAAGTTGGACTCGAAGGAGAGAGGCCACGTTAGCATCGGCAGAGAGGAGGGGTGATCATGGAACGAAAAGGGAGTGGATAGGCGAATGCGAGAAGCGCATTATATATAGGGTGTCCGGAATATATCGTCGCATTAACTGTCAACAGCAATTCGAGTTTCGATATTTCCTTGGAGCATTCCATAAGCAAAATGATAGAAATCAATCAAAATATGGTATCAATCATAATCGAAAATTCAAGAATCGTTCACGGATCAAAGCTTAGTCCAAACTTGCGTACGCATTAATGACAGACTCTCTTTACTTACTTAATTTCAAACCAAGTTTGTATTTGAGTTATTCGTTATGAAAATTAAAAGATAGACTTGAAATTAGTCTTAAAATTGTGATTAAAAGAGCATTCAATGACTTATGACATACAAAAATATATAATTATTACTTTTCACGTGTTCCCGAGTATCATATATTTTTCAATTTTTGCTTAATTGTTGTTTAGTTTTGTGAAAGAAAGTGATCTTTTAATTTTTATTATGTATAATAAAATGTCATTTCAATAATTTATTTATTATTAGGCAGATCATGCTCAACTTTTATGAACTCGCGAAATATTTCGCCGACTGCATTCTTTTACGATACGCTTCTCGTAACCAGTCTTATGCACACTGTGCGCAGACTTTGTTCTCGTATTTCTTTCCCTCCTTCTTTCCCACTATTTCAGTCTTTCTTTACCCGTCGACATTTTTTTTAAACCGTTCTATCACCTACCGTGCAACCAACTACAATCTCTTGCAACGTTTTTCTCGGTTCTCTACATTCGCCAATTGATATCGATGCATTCTCACGATTCAGTATCGACTTTGGATTTTTTCGAGATAAAATTCAGGCCGGGCAATAACTGAAGATACCCGATTAGTCATAGCTAATTATGTCGATAATTATGATGTTAGAAATGAGAGGTATTGAGCAAATCTTCTTTTCGCAACATACATAAATAAAATCTTTCTCTCGCAAATTAAAAAAAATAAATGGCAAATTGAATATAAACAAAATTCTCTTATGTTTCTAATTGAAATCGTTAAATTTTTAATTAAAGCCTAGAGACAATCACGTGGGAAGAATCAACTTCAATTTCATTATAAATAATAAAAAATTGAATTTTATATTACTAATGTAATACATAATCCATAATTTTTATTTATATTCTTTATATCGTTGCAACATATAAAAATATATAAAAAGATAAGTCATGTGTGTGAGTGATAAATTATTATTGCCTACGCACAGTCACACACACATACGCATGTATGCATAGTTTATGGGTTCTAAGCGAGTGCCTCGATAATAACGCATATTCTCGTTTTACGTGTTGACCTAATTAAATAAATAATGCTTTTAAAGGATTTAATGATTTAAGCTGTAGGTAATCTGAAAATTTATACGCGCGTAAGAAGATGAATAATTTATTCGGGAATTATATCGGAGTTATAAATCTTCTAGTAACATTTATGTATGGCTGTAAAAAGTATGTGCGATTCTTCACGTGTTAATAAAAGATAAAATGAAGTTACATATCAAACTTCGCGCACAAATTATGACTTTGTAAAATACCGATGCGTATCGCTTTTCATAAATCCTATGTGACTCACACGAGTCATTTGTGACTGTTCATAGCACACGACTTAATCATTTTTTATCGTTTAACAATTGAGTATTGTTTGCGCGATCTCTATATTCTATCAGTATATATAAAAGAACGCTAATTACCAACCAATACTCATTAAATGCGCAGCGTATTACATAAATTATTGCGGTTTATTTAATAATATCATTAATCTACGATTATTCGACATTTACAATAATTCAATAAGAAAGAATCTTTGTTTTTCTCTCTTTCCGCATTTTGATTGAAGTTTTCTTAATTTCTTAATAAATATTGTAAGTTTTATTATATGTCTTTTCAATCATAAATCTCTTTTTTCCTTTCTCTTTCTCTATAATTCTATCAAAAAGAAAAAAAATTATTAAATTGAGACATAAGGCAATGATTCAGGTTTTATTTCTATATTTCGCTATAAATTTTCTACAGCAACTTTTCTTTAAAAGATGATAATAATCTACTGAAAACTAATGGAAGTAATTATCATAAAAAGAAATGTCAAAAAAATTTTAAACAATTTTCCAAATACGCGTAAATATTTATTAGTACAAAGTTTAAGCTAATCTTATTGTTAAACGAAAATAGCGGGGAAAGGCGGATATTCCTTTAAATCTAATCGCATTTTCGGACGAGTACACGCCGGCTTTTAAAAAGCAGCGAAAGCGAGCGCGCTCGCGGAACGTGGACGTTGCACCGGCACGTTTTCTCTTATTTTCGCCCCAACTTGACTTTCGTCGAGTCGATCGACCGTCCGCGGCTCGCACCTCGAGAGACCGACGTCCGGAGGTGCATATTGCACCGGTGCGCCTTAATGGCGTGATGGCGTGACTGTGCGTCTGTGCGTGCGAGCGTGGGGTGGCGAACGGAAAGAAACGAAACGAAACGAGACGAGACGAGATCCTGGCGAGAGGAACGCGATGTCGCGTGTTCCATGGTCGCGTGTGTCGCGAATATTACACGCGATCCTCGGACCCGCCGGCCGGCTAAATGTCTCGTCGCACGAACTGGTTCCTCTCGCGTTTTCTCTCACTTGCACTTTTAATCGCACTTTGCTCGATGCTCAATATCGCGAGCTCATCCCACTCGCGCGTTGCGAGAGAGTCCTTATAATATAAAAGATAATATCGAAAAATTATATTTTGATAAAACAAAAGGTTTATTGTTTATTTAATGCTTTTCTGGTATGTATGGTGACCGTAGCTTTCATTTTTATAGCATCTTTTTCTAGCATCTGATTAGCGTATTGGTCCTTTTTATATTTTCAATTTTCAATTTTATTATTTTAATAGGACTGATATATCATATGAACGATATATCGATAAATATGAGCGATATACGATAGATATATCAGGAAAATCATATAAAAAAATATCGTAATTGTTTCAACATTGGCGCATAAATAATTTGCGAGTGAAAATACGGAACAGAGTCAAGTTTTCAGTTATTATTGCATGCTAGAGAATAGATACTGCTGGATTATTAACTTGCCATCAATTTTCTAATCGAATGGAATCAATTCCGAATGACTCTCAAATAAGCTGTCATTAAAATAATAGCGCGGTGGTCTTGAAACACCTTGTGATACAGATTTTATCGGATAAAATATCTTGGAGAGATTTCGACTGTGTATAATTTACTTTTTAATTTTACGACTGTCTCTCTCTCTTTCTCTCTCGATATGCGTAATATCTTATCTGTCTCCAAAGATTATATAGGATATTATTAGACTTTTGTATACTTCATCTTTTCCTTTTAGTTAATGTAAGTAAGCTAACATTGTAATACATGTTTCAAAGAGTTAAAAGGCAAAACTTAAGCAAACGGTGCACAAGTTCGTAACTCTGGCGCACTACCTTGTGCAGTCTCGCGTATCTCCCGTCGGCTGAGAACTTTGATAGCATACGTCGACATGTTCTCTTGTTGCGTGGGAAAGTGCTGCATAATGACACGGTCATTCTTTACACGTCGGGTGAAGCCAATAGCGGCAGCGCTGTCGGAAAGCCCATCAAGACTGCGAATAACTACGTATTTTCTTTCTAGTTTTATTTCACGTTCAGAGTTCTCTCTCGTATTAAATCGAAACGGCACATATGCATCGGTCTATCGTATATAATTTGGAGAAATATGTTCTTTATGTCTCAACACGCGAGTAGAAATAATTTAATTTTATTCGACTGTTAAAGGCGAGTCTCTTCCAACTAATTTTTTATTTCGCCATTTCCTTTTCTTTTTCATCGATGTTATTACAATTTAGAAAATGTATTCAACTTTACAAACTTTTCATGTATTACGTGTGGCTAGCTCGCGATATCGATACTTATATTTTTCTTATTTTATTAAATGTAAAATTAAATAATATATTTCAGAGAATTATATATATAATGATGATAGTTATTTGTGATACGTGGAACACAGTATTACGCGAGACTTTGTCATCGTTCTTTATCGAACCCTCGGATATTTCCCGCATTTCCGGGAAAATGACGGGACGGAATACCGACGCGTTGCACGCTGCTCTTTGTTTCCAGTCGCGTTGTGCCGTTAAGCGGCTCGCCGAAGAAACACCTGACGTCGTCAGGCGGTCGCCAGCAAGCAACCAGCCAACCAGCCAACCAGCCAGCCAAACCAACCAGGCGGGCAGGCAGGCAGACAGGCAGACAGGCAGCCCGCGTCGTACTTTCCGGGAAAATGACGGGACGGAATACCGACGCGTTGCACGCTGCTCTTTGTTTCCAGTCGCGTTGTGCCGTTAAGCGGCTCGCCGAAGAAACACCTGACGTCGTCAGGCGGTCGCCAGCAAGCAACCAGCCAGCCAGCCAGCCAACCAACCAGGCGGGCAGGCAGGCAGACAGGCAGACAGGCAGCCCGCGTCGTACGTAAGTACATACCTGTGGCAGGTGAATCGAGTCAGGTGCTCCAACAGATGGGCGCCTTTACTCGAGAAAGCGTTATAAAAGCGGTCTATCATAAATGTGGGTTACTAGCTATGACTAACGCCCGACGAGCTTGCGCTCGCGCACGCGTCCATAATTTGCGAATTATTTTCATCTAAGAATACGCTTATCGAGTCTAGGAAAGACTCGATTAATCCTTAAATACTGTTAAAACATATATATCGTACGTCTATTTTTTGGAAGACTTTTAGAAAAGTATATTAATTCATAAAAAGTAATGTGGAAAACTCCGACGAAATTAAATGATGGACGTAGAAAATAGAAAGATCAAAACTTAATTGTCGTATCACATAAATTCATATCGTCTCAGACAATAATATTTTGAATATTTTTCCTACATACATAAATCGATTTAGCTACGATGTCATATATTATATTCTGATTACATTGGAGATGTTTTGATTACATCCAAGAATTTATACCTATTGTTAGTTTCGACTAACTATCGAAGGCCAGGGAGTGTCAAATATCTTGTTTACCAATTTAAGAAACAGGGATATACTGTGCGAACAAAAAGCGAAAAGCTCAGTCGTCCTTCGACAGTGTACCCGCGATGTACATATGCGTCGCAAAGAAGGAGCGTAACGAATGTTGTCGCGTCTTTTCTCCTTTCTCGCTTTTTGTTTCACGGACACGTGGCGAGCGAATAATTACGGCGTATGCATGCACCGGCAGCATGTGCCTTCGTATGCTGTCGTTGTTACTTACGTACGTGCGAGCGTATGTGCGGTCACGTGTAAGAATGGGATAGCGAAAACGTGACGCGATTATACATTCTCGCTACATCGTCATCTCTGGCTTGGTGCAAGCACAAGCCGTCGTGCGTAGTCCGAGGTAGCGGTTTGGCGCGCGCGTTATGGTAATTTTATTAAATGTATGTTTCCTCTTTTAAGGAATTTAAAGAAGGCGCGCGCATAATCGCGAATGCCTGCTCGCCGAGCGATAATCTGCCGCGCGTTATCAGCGTCCGTCGATTATATTACTTAAACGATTCATACCGCAGAAAACAATAGATTTATGTTTAGGAGATAACGAATTGATCGTATTTCGTGATAGCGAAGGATATGTTAATTTGTCTGATGCATCGCGTATTACGGAATAATATTAGTTTATAAACTTTATTCCTTTATATTTGAAAGGGGATTTAATTTAATTTTAGTTTAATGTAAATTTTTGAAGACGCAACAAAAAAAAAATATTTATGATTATATAAAACAATCAATTTCTTTGATAAATAATTTTTTGGAAGTTTTAAATAGGTTTCTAAGTCATTAATTAATGACGATAAGTAGGAAAATACTAGCAAATGTACACGAATTAAAAAATTTAAAAAATTACGTTATATTATATTTATATAAATAGTTATACAATTATTATTACAATTATATAAATAGTTGTGTAGACAAATTATATATATAAGCAACGTTAAATAAATGAAATAATATAGATACGTCTCATAATATACCTCTTATAATAACAAAAACTTAGACAGAGTGCAAAATTTTATTGATGCTTTTGTTATTTTCTAAACATAAATTTATTAGTTTGTATAGTATTCATCATATCGGAATAATCGATAAACTTTGAATTAATGCAAGTTTAAACGGTGAAAAACTTTCTTGACACGCATAGATAGAAGAGGAATAAAGTTTAATTAATCGGAACCGAAAAAAGTTTTTATGACCGTCGCGATGACTACCGGTTAACAACCAGTGCGAACATAAAGTGCAATGGGTTGATATCTTCGAGAACGGATGTCCTCGTGTACGAGCGGAACGCTCTGGAAGAAACAGCTGCCAGCACTTTGTTCACGTCTGATTAGACGAAAGTAAAATATGTTTCCAGGGAAGATGTTATCGTTTCAAATCATAGTCGTTTCGTTTCGTTGTGCCTTTTGCATCGCGCGATTTTCCAGCTGTTCCAAAAAATCGAATGAACGATGCTTTGTCAAATTACCTTCCGACGTTCGCGTATATTTGAAAAATACACATTGATATCGAAAAATATTATATAGTGATTTTGTTAGAAATTATTATTTTTCTGTATAATCGCTGACGAAAACAGAAGATGTGGAAATTTTATCTCTTAACAAGATTCTTAAACAAATGCCATACTCATGCATTTTGTAACGTTTGCTTTGCATAATCTAACAAGCGCTTTTCGCGTTACATGAGGAATTCAATTATGTTTCTTAACACAAGGTTATTTCGTGCGCAATAACAATCGTGAGATGCGAAAAACTACAACAAGGTAAAATCTTGTATTAATTCTTGTGGTTTTCTTTTTAATGAGACTTATATAATATACACTTATAATATTATGTACGATCCCGCTACTTCTTATTTATAACGCAAATGAAATTAAGATAAAAGTATGTCGTACTAGTATGCCGCGATTTTATTACGATCATTTATCGATATTTTATTATACTAATGATTCATCCTTTACATCGTAATGTTAAAAAACTATAAAAACGATAGCTTATTATTGTTATTAAATCTCATCTAAGTGCGAGTAATAATTACAGAGACAGATGATTTTTTTTTTTATTCTAATTGACATTTAATAATAGCAAAGATTTAATATTTAAAATGTTTTATATGGAGATAATAATTATATAGATTAATTTGTAATATTAGGCATTTAACGAAAAATAATTGTACCTTTATGATGTTGTCGCTTCTTAGCTATTAGAATGATATCAATTTAATTCCAATAGCATGGTAATTTTTAAGATATACATAAATCGTAGTCTGTGCGTTCCTGCAAGCGCGGTCGGACTCTCGTTTTAATACACGAAGGGAGAGAGGCTCAAAGCTCATTGTGGCTCCGAGTCTCTCTCCGCACCGTTTCTCGTCGTTCGTCCTCAGCGACCGCGACGAAAAGGAAGAATTCAAGGTCAGCATGTTCTTCTGCATCGCTGCAACCCGTGCATTCTCCGACGGTACCTCGCATTATACACGTCTTACCGTGGCACGTCGCGAGACCTATCTTATTACGCATATTATTACAGGGCCCTCTCTTTGAAACGCGCGAAAGAACGCATTGTGCTGGCTGAGAATTTAAATACTTTAACTATTTCCTGTCCACTATATCCCCTCGCGTCTTTGTATGAAAAGTTCCTCGGATAAAGCGACTTAAGAAATAGTTAGTGTAGGAAAGTTTTCAAGGTCGTATATCTCTGAATATTAAAGAACACAGTTTGCGAAAACTCGCGATATGGTCGCGCAATCTTTGCAAGTCCAAGGCAAGTTCGCATGAAAAACAAACACTTACTACTGTGATGTCAGAGGTCAGATCATCGCGAGGAAATATAGGTGAATGGCTCTCGTGTAAAATTTACGAGAAATATATATATATGTATATATATATATATATATATATATACTCGCAAAGTTCCTCGGATAAAGCGACTTAAGAAATAGTTAGTGTAGGAAAGTTTTCAAGGTCGTATATCTCTGAATATTAAAGAACACAGTTTGCGAAAACTCGCGATATGGTCGCGCAATCTTTGCAAGTCCAAGGCAAGTTCGCATGAAAAACAAACACTTACTACTGTGATGTCAGAGGTCAGATCATCGCGAGGAAATATAGGTGAATGGCTCTCGTGTAAAATTTACGAGAAATATATATATATATATATATATATATATATATATATATACTCGCGCTTGAACCTTCTTTCGTTGAAATAAAATCCCTCCGAATCGATTTAAGACAAGATGAATTGCAATAACGAGCAGCCATGAATAGACTTGTAGAGGATGGATTTCAACTACGTAATAAGGGTGTTATGAATAAGAACACTCGCACGCGATTGTGTAAGCGGAAAACTTATTTGCCAATGCGACGATATATAGTATCGTGCTAGTACTACGGTGTTATAATATACGTGTTATATGTGACATATCATTGCGCCAGCGTTTTATCGCCAAGAAGCGCGATACGAGGCGACGATGTGAATATTTCGTGCGCGAAATCGCGAGAACTTTTACGCTACGCGATAAATATTTATATCATCGAGGAACGTTCGTTCTCGGCCAATCGCACATCGCAGTTTATCTCTTTTACTTCTTACGGAGATACGCGGTCTTGTCAATTTATAAACGTTTCTCGTATGTACATCCTGTACTTTGTGAGATGTACGTAAAATATCCAGGCAATCCGGACTCTGAAGTTTATTGATTTATCTAATATTGATCTTTATTTTCTTGCGCGTACAAAGATCTAGAAGATGGTCGTAAAGTCTTTCAGAATATTTAAACCGCGTAACATGATTTCTGTGAGACTCAATGAAAAATGTATAAGTTTAATTGTACAATAAATAAATGGACATATTTATCTTTATAAGTTATAAATTTTTTAATTAAAAGATGATGCAATTTTATATTGCACATTTCGAAAAATAAAAATATGTGTTTACGGAAATATCAGCATAATTCTAATCAAACATTTTTCCGAAGTTACGCAATTCACGCGGATTAAAAACACGAGTGCAAACTCCTAATTGAAGTCAGCATTTCTCTATTAAAAATTAAATACAAGTTATAAATTTCAAGAAACGAAACAATATTTCATCATCAATCCGAAACAGTATGAGCTTACATTTCTCTTCTCTACCGTAGAAAGTAACTTATGTTTTTTTTTTTTTGCTTTTTACACTGACGAAATTTTTTATGCGCGAATACAATTTCAAGTTTAAATCTCGGATTATAATGTATCTGCAGCGAATAATTTCACAGAGAGCGAGAAAAATGCGGAGTATCCAACCAGGTGGAACATTTCTGTTCCACCGCGTCGCGGATAAATTCCGCACACATGCAGCGCGCATATGCATTCGGACGGCGGCTCCGGGTGAGAGAGAAACGTGAAACGCGCGCGAAATTTTTCTATCGATCGGCGAGGGCACCCCGGCTTTGCGG